TTTACCTGTATAGTGTTAATAATTTCTGAATAGTATAGTTGCCTAGTGTATAGGTGAATCGTCTAAACCTTAAAAGGAATAAAAAAGAAGAATTCTTTAAAAAATTATTTAAACATAGAAATTTTTAAAAATAAACGTCAGAAAAATAAACTGTCAAAAGTCTGTGGGAACTAAATTAATAGGGGTTTGTTTAAATAAATTACAATGATGTGGAGATGAAAAGAATAAATTATATTAGTATTGTTAAGTTTTATGAACTGATTTTTTTTTTTAATTCCCAAATTAGATGTGATTAAAGTGCTTATGAGAAATTAATGTGGTTTGGACCAAATATGTCAAAACAGGACAGTTTTATGGTTGAATAAAATAGAAGACGGAATGAAAAAAAGAAAGGGGGTTGCTGTTAGCAACGAATAATTTTGGTGGTGGGTGCTAGCTATGGCGGTGAACAAGGAAGAATAGGTTGTTGGAGGCGACGAAAATTTTGGAGGAAGAGCTCTAAAAAGTGGAATAGTCCGGAGTGCTTTAAAATCGTTTAATTATAATTTAGTTTTTCCACATTTTCAATAGAGATATCCAGAATTTGTTCCAGAGAGTAAGAGAAATTTTGACTATAAATTATAATTGGAGTGCAGAAATGTCATTTAGATTGAAAAAGTAAAAATTCATGAATTACCTAATTGCGATATGGCCTTAAAAATTGAAATATTAATGATCATTAAAATAAAAATATAATAGTACGTACCTTTAACTTCCAAAGAGGATAGATATTCCAGTATCACCGATTATTTTGCGAGTAGTTAGTTTTCTTTAAAAAAAAAATCAGAACTGTTTGAAAGTGAGTTTGATAATAATTTTGGGGATCATTTGAAATTTTGATTATATTTTAATGCTAGTTATAAGTCAGCGGCATAAAGTGTTCAGTTTTCTTTTCTTTATATTTCATTTAAACACTTTATAAAGTTGCAATAGTCATTTAGATTTAAGGTAATTGTAGAGAGTTTCCACATTTTGTAATCAAATTCTATTTTCACGACACATTAAGGTTTACACGATTCCTATTTTGTAAATTTTTAAAGGCAACCCAAGTTGGCAGACGAATTTTATTGTTTATATTAAATTTGTTCAATATTAATAAATAACGTGCTTCATTTGGGTTAATTTATCAAAAATATAAAGTAAATTTTGGTTTAATTTCTTTTTGAACTCTACCAGGAGACTACAGATGTTGACGTCACACAGTGACAGATTGCTTAGAACAAATAATTGAGCTAGCCGAGGTATAGTATATTAACAACGAACTACATACTTTTAAAATTCACTTCAATTCAATTAAAATTATATTTATTAACAATAAAACATAAAAATAATAAAAACAAAACTATTACAATATAAACGTTAAGAACACAAAGTTTATGATAATTAGCAAGAAAATGATAACAGAAGGTTAACTCTACGTCAACCAATCCCCTTAGAAGGAGTCATTACAACTACCTCGACACCATAATAAAGGAAGAATGGACCAACAACCAGATTTGAGCTAGGTCATCGTAAAAAGGCTAGATTCACCTTCAATCGGACGGGGCCTTTAAAAGTCACAACTTCTCTCTTGATACAACAGTAAGAATGCTGCGATGCTACATCTTCTCTGTCCTTTTTTATGGTGGTGACTCGTGGACCTTGAACGAAGATATGTGCAGAAAACTGGAAGCATTTGAGATGTGGTTACATCGTAGAATGCTTAAGATCCCGTGGACTGGCTGAGTCACAAATGAGGAGGTCCTCAGAAGAATGAATAAGAACCAAGACATACTGACCACCATCAAATCTCGAAAGTTACAATTCTTCGAACATATTATGCGAAATGAATCCAGATTATGCTCTCCTTCAAGCCAACCTGCAAGGAAAAATGTAAAATTTGGAAAACGAGGTCAAGGAAGAAGAAGAACATCTTGGTTAAAGAACCTCAGAATCTGGTTCAATACAACATCTGTGCAGCTTTTCCGCGCTGCTGCAGATAAGATAAAGATTGCAATGATGATCGCCAACATTCGTAACGGATAGGCACGTCAAGAAGAAGAAGAAAGAGGCTTTGTTTGTGGTCATCATTTTATTATAGAAGTGTAAGGACTAGCCAGAAGTTTATCGATGTTTCATTAATTAGATTATACTAATGCATTTGGCTGTGTAAAACATAGTATGTTGAATATTCTAAAATAAGAAAATTGTAGAATATTATTTTAATCGGTATTTCTTCCACCCGTAGGTGATTAAAGGTCATTTATCTATACGTTTACACTTTCTTATAAATATGTACTGCGTTAAAATAAGTATCTATTAGTGTTTTTAGTTTTCTATGAAAATTAAAACTTAATGGTCTGATAAATTCCATGTGTTTTCAATACAAACACGTTTAAGATACGGTTTTAATCATTAACAAGTTCAATGTTATCAACATGCCGTTATATTGGATGTCTCAATTTCATCTTTATACACTAAAAAACGACTAATAGTTATCAAATCCAAATTAGTATTTTAAGTTTTGACTTTCAGCTCAAAAATCGTTTTAAAAATAATTTTTTTTTAAAAATGTAACAAATTATTTTGTTTTGTACTTCGTAATAAAATTCTTCTCTCATTTTTAATATATAACTCAGTAGATTTATAGGATTATAGTTTTTAAATAGTGACTTTTGAGGCGCCTTTCTGGAATGAGTTTATTTAAGTCTACAGCATCTTAGATGATTTCTATTTGATTTCTAATTCTTTATATAAAGGGTATATAATAAAATGCCCAAACGGGCTATTCACAATTACATTTACATAACGTTTTCGAATGTTAATTCCATCATCAGTGTAAACGTGGTATAGCCCACGTGGTAAGTTTTAGCCCATATTCATCACATGCTTCGGTTACCCTCTTTATAAGTCGTTGCAGGTCTTCTTCATTGGAGGCAATAAGTACCGTGTCGTCTGCATATCTGAGATTGTTGACATTCATTCCGTTGATTTTAATGCCTGTATCTTCAACTAAGGCTTCTTTGAAAATAAATTCCGATATTAAAAAGTAGAGGCGATAGAATACACCCTTGCATCACTCCACGTCGTATTTCCACTGCTTCCGTCGTGTTGTGTCCAGCTCGTATGTTTGCACATTGATGCCAACACAAATTTTTGATAATACGGAGGTCTCGGTCATCAATTCCCACCTGTTGCAAGACACCTATAAGTTTGTCATGGTTTACTCGGTCAAAGGCCTTTTCGAAGTCGATAAAACACATATATACTGGTTGTTCTATATCCCTACATCTTTGAACCATGACCTGCAAACTGCAAGACGTTGCTTCTCTGGTTCCAAGGTTGTTTCTGAAACCAAATTGTGTTTTACTTAGTTGTACTTCTATTTTGTTGTAAATTCTCGAGTGCAGTATTCTTAGTAAAATTTTTAGTACATGATCTCATCAGACTGATAGTGCGATGATCGCTACACTGTTTGGCATTTATTTTTTTCGGTATCATTACAAATGTTGACAGTGGCCAGTCTGTTGGTAAATGTCCTGTTTCGTATATTTTATTAAAGAGGCTAAGAAGAGATGTTTGCCCTTATCGTGTCGAGCAGTTTGTTTATTTCGCATGAATTTCATCTGGACCGGTTGCTTTCCTATTCTTTGATAGCTTTATAGCTCCTTCCATTTCAATCGAGTGTTATGTTTGCCCAGTCGATATATTTTTGATTTGAATTTCTGTTCTATCGTCATCAAACAGCTCCTTAAGGGCGAGCGCCCACCAAAGTGGCGTGGCAGTGGCAAGTAGCAAGTAGCACGCGTTTAGCATAATGTAAACCAATGAAAACGAATGATTCAGTTTACAACCAAAATGACAGTGACGCATTCATCCAACCATTCGTTTGCTGCTTGCTGCTTGCCACTGCCACGCCACTTTGGGGGCGCTCTCACTAAACTGTCATTCTTTTTCTTACAGTTCTATTTCAAGACATTTGTTGCTGTACCATTTTTCCTTTGCATCACGAATTTTCCTTCTGATTTCTTTATAGATTTTATTGTATTCTTCAGTGTTTTTATTTTTCTGTTTGCGTCCACTCTCCATTAGTCCCAATGTTTCATCAGTCATGGCCATTGTTGTCTGCGATTATTAATAGTTTTTATACTTGTTTAGTTGTTTCTTGCATAATGCTTTTGATATGATTCCAGTGGTCTTCGACGTTATGAGTTGTTTCTCTCGATTTTTCCAACTTCTTTTTTATCTCTTGTGTAATTTCATGACTATTATTTTGAAAATTACAGTTAGTGGTTATTCGGTTAGTTGGTTGTTGGCATTTTACTATTTTAAGTTTAAGTTTTATGTCACTGATTAATAAGTTATAATCTGAGGACATCGGCTCCAGGTTGTTTTTAGTTATTTGTGATTGATACATTCTCCGTTAATTCGAATTCCGGCTTCAAAAGTTTTTTTATTGCTACAAAATTTTTTGCAAAATTCTACAAAAAAAAAACATAATTCATACCTGAAAATAATAAAGATACAAACAATTAAAGCTATTAATAAGGTTAGATCATTTCTCGTTCATAATTTTCATATGAATTATAATGTTTATTTTCCCTTGTCACTGTCACTCATCTCAAGCTGCTTGGATATCTTGCGTTTCGTCGGTAAGTCGGTAAAATTCAAATTAGAAAATCTCGACAGCAATATGTATGTTGGATTTCTTTCTTTTTCTTATGTCCTATCGTCCGATGTTGGACACTAACATGGCAATTCTGACTTTGTTGACTGCTCAAAAGTCCGGGGGATTTTCTTTAAATGCATATTAAATGTATCGTGTTTTTGTTCCAACAACTCTTTCTCCTTATTTGTCTCTGAATATTTTTGTATATTCTTTTGTTATTCTTTGATGCAATACAATAATACTAATATTATATTATTTTATATTATACTAATAATACTATATATATTATACTAATAATATTATATTATTTTAGGTTAAACATGGTGCTGCTCTTATACTCTTCTGTTGGGGCGACCAAAACGCAGATCCTGCCACCATAAAGTACCTGAAACAGCTTGGTCTTCACGGAGTCATCTACGATAAAATCCACGAGTACAGCAACAAGGAGATAAAAGAAAGCATCTTTATGGTGGAAGCCAGAGAGTCACAAAAAGAATTAATTCGTCTCGCTGCTGCAACTTCGGAAACGCCGCAAAGTCCACTTCCACAAGCTATCATCAAAGAACCTGTACTGGATTTCCAAATGGTGAAAGGACAGTTGGGAGATAAGATATCCACGGCAACTTCTCTGGAGTCTCTAGAGAGTCGTCTGTCTGAACAAGACGAGATCAAAAAGTCGTGTTAGGTAGCAAGAAAAAACAAATACACGCAAAGAAAAAAATTGGATGCAAATATGTCAATAAAAAAGAAAAAATCTAGCTAATATTAAACGTTGAATTTGACGAACTTAGTTTGTTTACAAAATTTTATCGTTGCGTTTCAAGTCGGATTATCGGAACAAACTTATTAAACTCAAGGTAATCAGCTTTTGCTTAATTTACTTACTGTTATCTAATATATTCGAATTATAGAATGGCCCACTAATAAAAAAAGCGATGATCTACTGTTTGAATATGAGTGTGTCTGACAACGTAGAATCAAAATTTAACTGTCAGATGACTCTTATTTTGGCCTCCACAGTTGTTGCTAAATGCAGTTGCCTGTTTCACAGATAGGGGAAGGCTTCTGATATATTTTAGGAGACAAGATAATATTTTCTGATATCCTCGTGACGCCTGATCTACGTATCACATAAATAAATGGGTCGTTCCAGTCTGTAGGTTATGGACCCCTAAGTCATACGTCCATAGTTGCTTTAAATAATATTCTTTAGAAGTTTCCCACTTCCTAGCATCCTTTAGGTCATGAGACCCATCACACAGCCACCTTTACTTCCAAGCCATGAAGTAAAAATGGCAACACTGCATTCTATGACGTCGGTAGTCCGATTTTCTAGTAAGGTCTACTAGAAAATTAAACTAATTTCAATTTTAGGAAACTGATATTTTGAAAACTTCAATTCATTAAAGAAATATTTTTAGGGAAATTAAATTAAGAAAACCTATATATACCTAATAATAATAATATAAAGTTTTATTATTATTAAGGTTATATTATAAATAAAATAATCATCATCATCATCATTTTTGGCTCGACAATCCTCTGTGGATCTTGGCCTGCTCTAAGATTCGTCGCCATTCTGTTCGGTTTTGGCAACATGTTGCCATCTTCTGATTTTTAATATTCGTAAGTCGATTTCTACTCCATCTAACCACCTAATTCGCGTCGACCTTTGCTTCTTTTTCCTACAGGTGTTCCTGTGGTAGCTTTTTTAGCAATGGTATTTTCTGGCATTCGTATTATGTGTCCAGCCCATCAAATGAAATAATCAGTAAAGTAAAATTTATTGCACTTAAAATACAGTTCAAACAGTTAATCTCACATTCAAATGCAGTCAAGAATCTCTAGAAATTTTAAATATTAAGTACATTAAGCATATAAATAACACAATTAAAATTAACACAACATTTCAAAAAATTATAAAAATACAGAAGATATAAAAGTTAGTGTAAGTAAAAACATAGTGTAACTATTATATCAAAAAATTCATCCTAAGAAATCAGACACAATATAAATATGGTTCTTAATATTAATCTCATAGAGGAATTAAATATTTTACTATTTACTGTAAACTTTTGTTGAATTTTCATACTTAGGTAAACGAAAGTAGCAATTTGAAATATGATAAGGTTTTTTGTCATATAGACCAAATACATAAGTTTAAAGAGGTATAACATGAAAAATGTGTTGAATGTAACATACCATTTATAACTTGTATATCGATGTTAAATAGCCTATAGCCCCTTGAATATTCTCAAAAGATTTTTGAATGTAATACTCAAATTTGTTATCACTTATCTAAAAAGCAGAACTACATCGAGAAAGTAAGTTCTCTAATTGTGACCATCTTGTTAATTTACTATTTTGTACAATCCATTTTAAATCATTACTATACTCCATTCCACGAATATATGACTGTTAAATTCGGGTTTAAGGTGTCGATTTAAATGGTCCAATGTACTGAATTGTACAATGGTAAATTCTCCCCATTTTTAAAATACTCTTATGACAGATATAAAGCTTAGATTTAAATATGAAGTCATGATATAAATATAGAGTTGATAGTTTGTAGAACAGTTGTAATTCAGATTTTGAAGTATATAATTACTATTAGTGAGTTTAGTATTGTAAACAAGTTAGTTTTTAAATTAAGTGATTTAAACGAAATGTAACAATACCTAACTGATTGAATAGTGTAATTTATGTAGACGAATATTCAATTAGTATTAAAAAACAAAAAACTTACTTATTCTCTTATTCCCCTAATCGTTTATACTCCACTCAAAGCAAACAAATATTTAAAACTAACAAAGTTAAATACTAACTAAACTAACCAAGTGAAATATTAGATTTCTTTTTCGGCTTCTGAACCATCGTTTTGTCAATTTCCTTTCAATTATATTAAAATAGTATATTTCTTTTTATTACAGTTGTGGTACCTAATAAAGTAATAAAACAGTGTAATATAAAAGAAACTCGGTACGCCTCTTTCGGTGTTTACATTTCACGGAAATCCAACCCAGATGTCTGATGAACACCTTTGGCTTATAGACGACATTGTATTTATTTGAAGGAGCGGTTGCACAAAAATTTTTGATATTTTCGGATTACATTTTACATTAAATTTTGCGTCTATCCGAACTTCTATTAACTGAAATAATTTTAGTTTAGACGTCATACTATCATATATATTATATCATAGATCCTTTTTATTGGAATAATAATTAGACCAATTTACTTCATACTTGTACGTGCACAGTAAAATATTCATTGTCGCAATAATCCAAAACAGTCGTATATTCGTGGAATAACCTATACTTAATCTATTCTTACCTACATTGACGATTACACTAAAATTACTGCTAACTATTTCACTACTTAATATTATCACACTCATGTCCTAACTGATTAATGTTTAACACATAGAAATATACACAGTTACTTGTAATTTTACTCGTCCAGTTTTTCAATGGATATTACTGTCTAAGTCTCTTTAAATCATTGTCTCAGAATTCTGTTATTCGTTGTTCCCTCTTCTTATCTTCTCATTGTTCAGTTTCGCTGAATATCATCTTCATGAAAATGTTGGGCACATACTACGGAAGATTTGGTAATTGTATAGCCTTCTCTATGAATAGAGCATAACCAAGTATACCTTCTTTGGGAATCTTTGGGAAACGAAAATGTACTTTCTGCCTGTTTCGTTTTTAAAGTACTGGCATAATAGGTTTTGCAACCAGGTAAACAACAATGCCGGGGCATCTGTAACAAAAAACAAAAGTATTATTATTGATTTCAGTTTATTTTGTAACAAAAGCAAAAGATTATTACTGTTTTCAGTGTGTTTTGTAGGTTATATTTATACTTGCCTTTTAGATTGTCGTTTAAGAATCTTCTAAAAGTTCTAAACTTAATGAAATTGCACTTATATTAATATTTTCTAATTGATTTAAACACAATTTACAAATAAAACATTCGAATAAAGTTAAAAAAACACTAAATTCAACAAACTTCACAAGTCTTCCTATGTGAAATGTTAAACACAACAAACCACGGTCGGACTACCACGCGTTGTTGCCAAATTTCTACTTCATGGCTTGGAAGTAAAGGTTGCTGCGCCCATCTCCATTTCCAACCCCATCTTTGGCCGTTCTTACGGCTTCCGCCTTGAACAAGTGAAAGTCTTTTTATGTCTGAGCTAAAGCGTTTTCTTCTGCCGAACCTGATTTATATTTATCTGAAATTTGTCACATTTATCAGAGGTATGTTTACTTGGACTTTCGAAACTAAGGTTGAACTGAGTATTAAAAATATTCCTGTAAAAGCTTTCACTTACAGGTTCTTCCTGTTTTTTCTTGTTACAGAAATCAAGTTTGTACATTATTTTCAAATTACACTTGAACATAGGGGGATTTTATTTCTCCCCCTGAATATGTTGCTAACTGCTTATTGAAGCAGTACCTTCGATTTTGGTTCTATGTAGTTATAATAAAATAAAATTGGTTACCTTATATTTTGGCGATCACACTCTCGTAATTACTTTAAATTACACTTAATAATTAAAACTATATTTTTTTTTATATAACACAAAATCTTTTGTGGAGAAATGAGCGATTTATTTTAAAAGTGACAAATATTTAGAGTTATTAAAATTGACAAATATTAGAGTAATGTCAGAAATTATAGAATGACTGTTGTCGACGTCATAAAGGTTAAGAAGGGAATTTCTCGCAATTATGTGCAGCAAATAGAAACAGCATCTGTCTTGCATTATCGGCAATTCGACCTATGAATTTTTTAGGTTGCGATATGCAACATAGTCCCCCCCTTGATGTGAACGCATCAAAAAGAAAAAAAAAAAAAAAAATGTTTATGTACAATTTGAAGAAAGGTATAACTAAACTAACAAACTATTAATATTCTTGAAGGTGAGTCATAGGAAGAGGACACAGTTTAGCAATAGAGCGAACATATAAGCCTTCAGGAGTTCTGACCTTAACAACTCTTACCTTGTTGTCCTTTCCCGGATATGTCTCAACTACCCGTGCTATAGGCCATTTGAGAGGAGGCGAGTTTTCGTCCTTAAGCAAGACGAGATCACCAGGCTTTATGCCTACCTGAGGAGTGAACCATTTAGGTCTATTTTGCAGCCTATTAAGATAATCGCGGGTCCAAACCTTCCACATATGCTGCTGAATTCTTGTGCATTTATTCCACAAAGACAATTTATTTTCTTGAATATCAGAAAGATCTGATTCAGGATAAGACATTAAATTAGATCCAATAAGGAAGTGTCCGGGAGTAAGAAAGGAAAAATCGGAAGGGTCATCTGAGAGCGCACAGATAGGGCGTGAATTGAGCACTGCCTCGATCTGCGAAAGTACAGTGGATAGTTCTTCGAAAGTAAAATTGGAGTTACCCATTATTCTTACGAGATGGTATTTGAAGCTCTTTATGGCAGCTTCCCAAATACCACCGTGGTGTGGTGAGCGTGGAGGGATAAACTTCCATTGAATTTGACACGAAGTAGCGAAAGAGCGAATAGATTCAGAGGTATCACCTTTAAGAAGCAACTCATAAAGTTCTTTCAATTGGTTTTTCGCACCTAGAAAGTTTGTGCCATTATCGCTGAAAATGATATTCGGATTACCCCTTCGGGCGATAAACCTTTTCAGAGTCAATAAGAACGCTTCAGTAGAAAGACTGGAAATTAATTCCACATGCACGGCGCGAGTAGCTAAACATACAAACACTGCCATATAGGCCTTAGTAAGGGGAGCTCTCTTGAGTTTAGAGGTCTTGATGGGAAACGGACCACCAAAATCAACTCCAACATTTATAAATGGACGTGCAATTTGAACTCTTTCCCTCGGGAGATTAGCCATGATTTGAGACGCGACTTGTGCGTTAAAACGGTAACAAGTGAGACAATTTTGTATTATACGTTTGATTTGTCGAAGACCATCAAGAGGCCAGAATTTCAATCTAACATTAGACAGTGTATTTTGAGGGCCTGAATGTAGAAGTCTTCGATGTTCTCGGGTAAGTAATAAATTGACAATATGTGATTTTGAGGGTAACAGTAGAGGAAATTTCTGATCATAAGGAACATCTGAAAGGAGAAGACGACCGCCTACTCGTATCATTTGAGACGAATCTAGAAAGGGATTCAATTTACAAATAGACTTATCTTTAAGCAGACGATTATCCATTAAAAATTGGATTTCCGAACTGAAGAAATGTGACTGGGTCAATTTGATGATCATTAACTCAGAACTAGAGAGTTCATGTGGAGTGAGAGGACCTGTACGTCTATGAGACTTAGCTCTTACATTGTGAATAAAACGAAGGCAGTATGCAAAAACTCTCTGAAGTCGAGTGAAACATGAAAATTTGCAGAGGGCATCATATACTTGTGAATCTGGTTTTCTGATCAGATGAGTAACCCTTTTGAGTTCAGGCAGTTCATCAACATTAATACTCGAAGGACCATTAGATACAAAGAGGTTGAAATCAAAGTGTGGATCTGACAAAAATTGAGGACCATTAAACCAAAAATCACAATCAAGCAACTGCAAGGGTGTAGCACCACGAGATAATATATCCGCGGGATTGTCTTTCGATCGTACATGTCTCCATGTATGGTTGGAAGTGAGTTCTTGAATTTGAGTTACTCTATTGGATACAAAGGTAGACCAACGAGAAGGGTGTGATTTAATCCATGCGAGGACGATTTCTGAATCTGTCCATAAATTGACAGAATTTATCTGAGATTGGGATGGAATCAAGACAGAAAGAATCTTCGTAACAAGATTAGAGAGTAATAATGCTCCTAGAAGTTCTAATCGAGGAAGAGTCACAACTTTTACAGGACTAACACGACTCTTTGAGGAGATTAGATTGCAAGATATAAAGCCATTTTCATGTGACGTTCTTAAATAAACACAAGCACCATACGCGCTAAGACTTGCATCCGAAAACCCATGTATTTGAGTACTTGTTACATTGCTAGAATTTTGCAGCAACCTAGGAATCTTGAGATTGGAGATGTGAGGAAGTGTTTGTAAAAATAGATTCCATTCGGTAAGCAATTTTGGACTGAGAGGGTCATCCCAATTCGACCTTTCTAACCAAATCTTTCTCATAATTAATTTGGCAGATACCACTAAAGGGTTAATCAATCCTATAGGGTCATAAATGGAAGCGATTAAAGAGAGAACTTCTCTTTTTGTATATGTATCCTTAACGGTAACCTTTGGCACAAGAACTGAAAAATGATCGGAGTGAAAATTCCAACATAGGCCGAGAATTTTGTTCGTGTGATTTTCAGGATTGATTACATAACTAGCTTCATTAGAGATATGAGAAATACCTGCGAGAAATTCAGGTGAGTTTGCACACCATTTATGAAGCGAGAAGCAAGCGAGGTTTAAACATTCCGTTAATTGACGATGAATTTCGAAGAGTGTTTCGAAATCGTTACAGCCATAAAGCACATCATCGATATAACAGCAATTTAAAAGAGCTTCACTAGCCAAAGGAAATTTGTCGGAATTGTTTTGAGCTAATTCCTTAAGACATCTAGTGCTAAGAAACCCGGAGTTATTTAATCCATAAGTGATAGTTTCGAGTTGAAGACATTTCAAATCCTCTTGAGGTGAATCACGCCACAAAATGTTCAACAGAAAAACCTGTTCGGGATTTACTCGAATTTGTCTGTACATATGACGTAGATCTGCTACAATACAGTATTTAAATAATCTAAAATTTATCAAAATATCGAATAATTCGCGTTGTACCGTATAACCAGGAAGCATTATGTCATTAAGACTTAGATTTGAGGTAGTTTTCATACTGCCATCAAAGACGACACGCAACTTATTTGTTACGCTATCCTTTAAAACGCAATGGTGAGGAATAAAATATTTTAAATCAGAGTGAATATTTCGAGTGGAGAGAGGCACATATCTGCAATGTCCAAGTGCAATATATTCATGAATAAATTGTTTATACTGTACATATAATTGATCTGACTTGATCAGTTTCTGTTCGAGGTTTAGGAATCGCTTCTTTGCGAGGAAAAAACGATTCGCCCAATTTTTTATATTCGTTGGGAGATTTGAAAGGGAGATCTACTTGGAATCTACCAGATGATAATATTTTAAGTGACGATTTAAAAATGTCTTCGGCCTGTTGCTCCGAAGGAGTTAGGATTTTTGGAGTACAAGTAAAAGACGAGATTTCTTCTACTTCCCAAAACGACCGTACGAGTGAATCGGTATTTTGAGCTTGAACGAACAAGGATACTTCATTTCGAGGTTGAGTATTTTCTTGAATGTTAAGTATGGAATATGAGTCAATTAACCCAGAGGATTGAGGTACATTTCCACCTACAAGATATCCGAGATGAGTATTTGTTAAGGTAGGAAGATTAGGGCCTAATTTTATTAACCCATAAGTGAGTAAGTCGAAATAAACATCTGCTCCAAGCAACATTTGAACTTCGGCAGGAGTACAAAATTCTGGATCAGCCAGGTGAATGTTTGGTGGAATTTTGAGGGCATTAAAATCCAATGTAATTTGAGGGTGCTTACAAGTGATGGTTGGGAGAATCGCACAAGAGAGTGTAAAATGTTTTGTGGGATTGACATTTGAGAAAATATTTAAATCCACCATTTTATTCGACGTCGAACAGATTTCGGATATCCCAGAAATGTGAAGACTTTTTGTGTAAGGAATACATTTCAAGCGACTTGCTAATTTCTCAGTGATAAACGAAAGCTGACTAGCTGAGTCTGTAAGGCAGCGAACCTTAACGGGATTATTATGAGAATCATAAATTGTAACACATGCTGTTTGGAGTAGAACCTCCTTTTTGCCTGAGAGTGCAGAGAGAGATGATGCTCGGTAGACATCATTAGACTGACATTGATTTGCTATTCGTGGAATTGCAGGAGAACTTGAAGTTTCGCCTTGAGTATTGGGATCACGAGATACATTAGAGTGAGTACGAGAATTTGAAGTATCATGTATATTGTGAGTCTGGCGAGTATTTTGAGAATTACGATTTCCTTGTGAGTCTTGAGAGTGACGAGTATTTTGGAAGTGAGTGTTTCTAGTGGGTAGACTACAAGAATCTTGATTTGTTCTTGAAATGAACCGAGAACTATTTGAGTTATGATTAGAAGCGTTAGAGAAATGGAGCAATGTGTGATGTCTCCTGTTACATTTGGCGCAATTCGACGAAGAGGTACATGAGCTTGCTGAATGACCACTAGCCAAGCAGTTGAGACACGCTTTCTTTGCCTTGACCGTTTGAAAACGGTCATCTTCAGACATATTTAAGAATTCCTGGCAAGTGTATATTTTATGAGAGTTATTTTGACATAAGAAACATTTAAAATACTGATTATTACTACTATACTGCAAATTATTGCTAACTGTGTTAAGAGAAGTAAAACGAGAAAGTTGTTTTTGTTTCGGAGAATGGGAATACTCAGGAGCAAGATTTTCGAGAATTTTGCATTTTCTTTCAATAAATTCAAGGAACTCCAATAAACTTGGGAGTTTGTTTATATTACGATCGGTTTCAAATGATCTTTTAGTATTATAGTCTAATTTTTGAGTAAAGAGATTGATGAGAATTAAATCAGTGAGTTGATTCGAGATGTTGAGGTTTTCTAAGGCGGCGAGATGGCTTTTAATTTGAGTTAAGAAATCCCTTAGAACATGTGCATTGGGTTTTGTAATGAGTGGAGCATTTAATAAACTGTTCAAATGGCTGTTTACTATTAAATATTTATTTTCAAATCTATCGCATAAATTTTTTATTGCAATTTCGAAA